TGAGTAGAACAAAGGAAGGGTTTAATGCGCAATGCCAAGCCAAAGACCATGAGCAGCGTCTCGAATTATTCATAGCAGCCGCGGGTGAAATTAAGTCGAGAAAAAAATATATAATCAACAGTATTTTTTTTTTTTCTCTAAGCACAATTAGCGGTGGTTGTTTGCTCGTTTCACAGCGGCAATAGCGGGTGAAATTAGATAGAGAGAGAAAATACTGTTAACAGTATTTTTTTATATAAACACTTTGAAGAAAACAAAATACTGTCAACAGTATTTTCTTTTCCATAAACACTGAAAAAAACACTATCAGTATATTTTTTTCTATAAGCACCTTTATAAAAACAAAACACTATCAACAGTGTTTCTTTTCTACAAACACTTTGAAAAAAACACTATCATCAGTATTTTTCCATAAACACTGAAAAAACAAACACTATCAACAATATTTTTTTTCTATAAACTGAAAAAAACGCTATCCAGTATTTTTTTCTTTGTTTATAAACACTTTTAGCAGTGTTTTTTCTCGATTTAATTTCAGCGTAGGGTTCTTAGTCAGTTAGGTCACAGATGGTTTCTTTGGTGGTGTTGGGTGCTGTATTGGGTTGATTAAATGTGTCGATTCTGGTGTTTCTCTCGCTCTCCGCGTCTCCTCTCTCTCTCTCTCTCTCTCTCTCTCTCTCTCTCTCTCTCTCTCTCTCTCTCTCTCTCTCTCTCTCTCTCTCTTCTCTCTCTCTCTCTCTCGCTCTCTCGCTCTCTCTCTCTCTCGCTCTCTTCTCTCTCCTCTCTCGCTCTCTCTCTCTCTCTCTCTCTCTCTCTCTCGCTCTCTCTTCTCTCGCTCTCTCTCGCTCTCTCTCTCTCTCTCGCTCTCCTCTCTCGCTCTCTCTCTCTCTCTCTCTCTCGCTCGCTCGCTCGCTCTCTCTCTCGCTCTCTCTCTCTCGCCCTCGCTCTCTCTCTCTCTCTCTCTCTCTCTCTCTTCTCTCTCTCTCTCTCTCTCTCTCCTCTCTCTCTCTCTCTCTCTCTCTCTCTCTCTCTCTCTCTCTCTCGATTTATCATCAAAATATCCCTCCTGTATTAAGATTCTAGATGCTGTTCTTAAGTGACTGAGATGACGATAATGCTGACAATAATACGTTTCGCAAAATAGTAAATAAATTCTTGTTCCTTGATACATCATAAAAATGGTATATAAATCACGAGAACAAGAGAATATAAGAATCATAAAATGGATAAATTGCTGCCAGAGCTTTCCCGCCTCTGCGATCGTTGAGGTACAAGCTCCACCCCCTCCCAGCATTCACCAAGAAGAAAATGGAGTCCTCAGTCCTCGCCTATAAGTACTGACTCGCGGGTAGCAAGCCAACAGGGAATTTGCTTCCGAAAATTTTAGAAAATCCTACTTACGCACACATCCATCCTTCATAATGAGGATTCTTCGGAGGATAATCTTCAAGGACTTACATGCTCCCGTGGATAAATACCTTGCAGAGGCGGAGGGAAGGCTTCTCCACACACCAGGAGCGAAGGGAACCATACTCGGGAAACCCTCACTTTCTAAACAACCTTTTAAGCAGTCACCACGTCGCCAGGAAATAGGTCACTGCACGCCGTTCGAGGGGAAGGTGTGGTCGTTCTGCAAGACATCAGAAGTGTCCGTTCCTGATTATATACCTAGGAGAAAAAATAAGACAAAAAAGGTATATTCGTCTGTCTATGTACTCACAAAAACATGAAGAAAACTATATTATATCCGTCTGTTTATGTATAAAAAAAACAAAGAAAACTATGTTATATTCGGCTGTTTATGTACACACAAAAAAGGAAAACAAAAACTATATTAACCCGATCTTATACACAAAAAAACAGCAATATCCCTCTAAGTACCAACACAAAAAAGAACAACCCCTCAAAAAGCTAAATTCAAAAGAGCCATATTCGCAGTTATAACAGAACATACACCTCCCCCCTCCCTCCTCCCCCCGCCCCCGTCCCCCACCCCAGCCCCCAATGAGCAAAAGCCCCAGCTGAAATGTAAACAAGACAGCGCCGACCCAGCACATACCACGGGAACAAAAAGCCGCCCGGGAGAAAATCCTTCCCGATTGGCTTTTCATCCTTAATCACGTCATCCTATTGTGGGCTGGATGGGATCACTTCGAGGAAGAGGAGAGAAGGGGAGAGAGGAGAGGTAAGAGGGGGAGGATGGGGAGAAGTTGGAGGATGGAGGGAGAGGGAAGGATGAAGGAGGGTGAGGGTGATAGGAGAAGAGGAGAGAGGGGAGGTTGGGAGGAGAGAGGAGGGTGGAGGAGAGGGAGAGGGAAGGGGAGGATGGAGGGAGGGAGGGTGGAAGAAGAGGGGAGGAAGAGAGAGAGGGAAGGGTAGAAGGAGAGGTATATAAGGAGGAAGAGGGAAGGGTGGAAGGAGAGGGAGAGGGGACCATGGAAGGAGGGAGAGAAAGGGAAGGGTGAAGGATGGAAAAAGAAGAGTGGAAGGAGGGAGGGAGAGAAGGACAAACATAGAAGGTGGGAAGGAAGGAGAGGTAGGACAGAGGGGGATAAGAAGGGAAGGAGAAGGAAGAGGGCAAAGGGAAGTAAGAAAAGAGAAGAGAGGAAAAGAAGAGAAAAGAGAGAACAGAAGACAGGAAGAGGGATAAGATGGGAAGGAGGAAAAGAAAGAGGCAAAGGGAAGTAAGAAAGAGAGAGAGAGAGGAAAAGAAAGAAAGAGAAAGAGCGAGACAGAAAGACAGGAAGAGGGATAGAAGAAGGAGGAAAAAGAAAGAGGCAAAGAGAAGTAAGAAAGAGAGAGAGGAAAAGAAAGAAGAAAGAGAAAGAGCGAGACAGAAAGACTGGAAGAGGATAGAAGGAAGAGGAAAAGAAAGAGGCAAAGGAAAGTAAGAAGAGGAGAGAGGAAAAGAAAGAAAGAGAAAGAGCGAGACAGAAAGACAGGAAGAGGGATAAGAAGGGAAGGAGGAAAAGAAAGAGGCAAAGGGAGATAAGAAAGAGAGAGAGAGAGGAAAAGAAAGAAAGAGAAAGAGCGAGACAGAAAGACAGACAGGCAGACAGAAGAACAAAGAAAAAAAAATCGAAGAGAAACGTATGGGATAGCTCTCCAAAATGCAAGAATCCACATCATTGTCTTCGTCAGAGAAGAAGCGGCATCTTCACTGCAGGTTTTCTTTTTTTCTTTTTTGCTTTTTTCTCGGTTCATTCTTTCCTTCTTTTTTTTTTTAGCTTTTTATTTCTTTTGTTTTTGGGTCGCGATCCTTTCTTATATAAGCACCGAAGGATCCTGTTTGGCCTTTCCCTTTTATGCTTTCTCTTCTTTCTAATAGATTTTCATTATTACATTGTTGTTTTCGTCACTGATAACTTATATTATCAATATTATTGTTGCTGTTGTTATTCTTTATTATCATAATTATTTCTATTATTAACATTATTATTATTATTGCCATTCCTATCACCATTTATCATATTATTGTTATGATCATTATTATCATCATACTCATATTTTTTTGTTTATTTATCATTATGACTTATAATCATTATGATAATCATCACTTTATCATTCATAGTATGACCGTCATCATCACTATTATACCATAAGCATGTATTAGAATTGTTCAATAATTTTGCACTGGTTTACTTGCTTCCAGAACAAGATTCAGTACAAGAATTATAAAGAACTCACCAACATCATTTTAACATTGACTCCGTTATGAATTATCATTCTTAACACCCAAAGCACCTTTTCTTTAGCGAATTTTCACGCCGGAATAATCGCAACAGCATTTTAACACTGATTCCTTTCTGAATTATCACTTTTAACACAAAACGCACCTTTTCTTTAGCGAACTAAAAATAAATCGTAAATATCGTCACCCGTTGGTTTTCTTCAGTAAGAGGCGCAAAGGAAATGTTGTTAGAGGCAAACGACCTTTCTGGAAATCGGTTAGACAAGGACTCAAAACAGGTAGTTCGGTCGTTTACGTTAATCCTCTTTCAGACGTGGAAACAACACCTGGTTTCGCAGCGTCATTAAGCTTTAATTACGTTAAGTCCCTGGTGTTTTATCTCTCCCTCTCTTCTGTCTGTCTGTTCTGTCTCTCTCTCTCTCTCTCTCTCTCTCTCTCTCTCTCTCTCTCTTCTCTCTCTCTCTCTCTCTTCTCTCTCTTCTCTCTCTCTCTCTCTCTCTCTCTCTCTCTCTCTCTCTCTACTCTCTCTCTCTCTCTCTCTCTCTCTCTCTCTCTCTCTTCTCTCTCTCTCTCTCTCTCTCTCTCTCTCTCTCTCTTCTCTCTCTCTCTCTCTCTCTCTCTCTCCTTCTCGGCCTCTCCTTCTCCCATAATTGTCTCTCATCTCTCCTCCCTCTCCTTCTATTTCACTCTTCTGGATGCTGATCTCCCCGTCTCTCCTTCCCTGAATTCTCTCCTCTCCTTCGTCTCTCTGGATCTTTACCTCTTCTCTTCATCCTCCTCGGACTCTCCATTCCTTCTTCTCCCTGGACTCTCTCCCCATTCCAGAGAGGAGGTCCCGGACTTTCTTCAGTTCCCTCTCCTTCTCCCTTGAGTATTCTCCCCCTCTCTCTGGACTCTGATTTCTCCCTTACAACCCCCATGGACTCTATAAAATTCTCCCTCTCCCTGGTGTGTGATCCCCCCCCCCCTGGTGTGTGAATCCCCCCCCCCCCCCCTGGTGTGATCCCCCCCTCCCCCCTGGTGTATGATCTCTCCCCCTTTTCCCCCTCCCTGAACTCTCACTTTTCCTTTCTCCTCCTTTCCCCCCCCTTCCCGGACTGGTCTCTCCCTTCCTTTCCCTTACAACATATTCCTAAGCCGGGACTGTTCTCTTCCTCTCCCTTCCGCCTTTCCCCCTTGCTGCCCATCGTCATTTCTGGTCTCTCAACCTCCTTTTTTCTCTTTTTTTCTCTCTCTTCTCTTCTCTTCCTTTTCTCTCTCTTCTCTCTCTTGCTTTTCTCTTCTCTTTCTCTTCTTTTCTTTTCTCTCTTCTCTCTTCTCTCTTTTCTCTCTCTTCTCTTCTCTCTCTCTCTTCTCTCACTCTCACTCTCTCTCTCTCTCTCTTCTCTCTCTCTCTCTCTCTCTTCTCTTTCTCCTCTCCTCTCTCTCTCTCTCTCTCTCTCTCTCTCTCTCTCTCTCTCTCTCTCCTCTCTCCCTCTCCCTCTTCTCTCTCTCTCTCTCTCTCTCTCTCTCTCTCTCTCTTCTCTCTCTCTCTCTCTCTCTCTCTCTCTCCCCTCTCCCTCTCCTCTCTCCTCTCTCTCTCTCCCTCTCTCTCTCTCTCTCTCTCTCTCTCTCCTTCTCTCTCTTCTCTCCTCTCTCTCTCTCTCTCTCCTCTACTCTCTCCCTCCCCTCTCCCTCTCCCTCTCCCTCTCCTCTCCCTCTCCCTCTCCCTCTCTCTCTCTCTCTCTCTCTCTCTCTCTATCTTACCCATCACACCTTTTCCCACCATTTTTTTCCTACAATCTCCCCTCTTTTCTTGGTCTCTTCATTTTAATCTTCGGGTTGCTTAACATGACTTAAATCTCCTTTTGAATTTTCCTTTCTCCTTCGCCAGTCACTTCGTCTTATGAGTCTTCAAGTAGTTTTTCTTTCTTCCTCTTTCTTTTCTTTCTTTCTTTTTCTTCTTCTTCTATTTCTAACTTTTTTTTTTCTTCTTTTTCTTTTTCTTTTCTTCTTCTTTTTCTTTCTTTTTCTTTTTTCTTTTTCTTTTTCTTTTTTCTTTTCTTTTTCTTTTTCTTTTCTTTTCTTCTTTTTCTTTTTCTTTTCTTTTTCTTTTTTTTTTCTTTTTCTTTTTCTTTTTCTTTTTCTTTTTTTCTTTTTCTTTTTCTTTTTCTTTTCTTTTCTTTTTTCTTCTTCTTCTTCTTCTTCTTCTTCTTCTTCTTCTTCTTCTCATTCTCCTTCTCCTCCTCATTCTCCTCCTCATTCTTCTTCTTCTTCTTCTTCTGCTTCTTCTTCTTCTTCTTCTTCTTACACGCGTAGGTAATGTCGGAGTATTTCTTACGTATAATTGCCGGGTGAGACAGTGAGTAGGCTGTGAGGAATAGCGAAAAATAATGATAAAAAATAATGAAAAATAATGAGGAATAAAGAAAAAAAAAGGCTGTCACGAGAAGGAAGGAGAGAAGAAGAAATGTGAGTAAAAAGGAATGAGAGAGAAGGAGAAAAAAAGGCTGTCACGAGAAGGAAGCGAAGAGAGAAGGAAAATGCGAATGAAAGGAATGAGAGAGAAGGGGAGAAAAAAAAGGCTGTCAAGGGAAGGAAGGAGAGAAGAAGAAATGCGAGTAAAAGGAATGAGAGAGAAAGGCGAGAGAAGAAGAAGACCATTAAGGAAGTCCTTTATAAGAAGTGATTCTGTGCCTTTCGCTTTTGTTTCTTCTTCTCCCTTCTTTGTCTTCTCTCTTCTTTTCTTACTCTCGTTTTTTTCTATCTATCTACTACTCTTTCCCTCTTTCTACACTCTTCTTTCTCCCTACCTCCTTTCCTTCTTTTCCCTACTCTTTCCTTCTTTCTTTCTTCTTCTCTGTCTCTTGTCTTTCCTCTTTTTTCTCTTTGTCTCCTCCCTTCCTCCCTCTCCTCCTTCTAACCCTCGCTCTCCACTCCTTCCCTTCCTCCCTCTTTCCTCTCCTCCCCTATCCCTTCTTTCCCTTCCCTCCTTTCCTACCCTTCTTCCCCTCCTTACCTCCCTCTTCTTCCCTCCTTCCCTTCCCTTCCACCCTCCTTCTCCTCTACCTCCCTTCTTCCCTCCCCCACCCTCCTTCTTTCCTCTACCTCCCTCCCTTCCCCTTCCCACCCTCTTTCTCTCCCTCTACCTCTCTTCTTCCCTCCCTTCACCTTTTCTCTCCCTCTCCCTCTCCCCCTCCTTCCCTCCCTCCCTCCACATACAAGACCCGTCGCAAAAAAAAAAAAAAAAAAAATCATAGAAAACGGACAACGACCTGTTCTTGCGAGTTAAGTTGACATAGAAAAATGGGAATTCGATGCTCCCGATAAGAACGTGGCTACTGGCTGGGGGGTTGGGGAGGGGGAGGGGGGGGAAGAGGAGGGTGGCATAGCTTGTCGTCTAATGAGGGAATGTGGGAGGGGGGGAGAAGGGAGGAGGGATGGGGATGGGAGGGTATGCTGGGAGGCAAACAGGAGAGAAGGGAATGTGGGAGGGGGCGAGGAAGGGAGAGAGAGGATGGGAGGGGTATGTGAGTGTTGTAGGAGGGAGGGAAAGGGGTGAGAAGGTGGGAGGAAGGGAGAAGAGAGGGGATGGAGGGGTATGTGAGCGTGGGAAGGAGGGAGAAAGGGGTTAAAGTTAGTCTATGAGTGTGTGTGGAAGGAGGGAGGGAGAGAGAGGGAATGGGAGGGGTATGTGAATGTGTGGAAAGAGGGAAAGGGGTGAAGGGAAGAGGTTGGAGTTTGTAGATGAGTGGGTGTGGAAGGAAGGAGGGAGGGAGAGGGGGGAATGAGAGGGAGGGTGGAGAACCCGTTGTATATGAGTGCGTCCGAAGAGTGGGAGAAGGAGAGGGAGTGAAGCTGGAGTAGAGAGAAGTACAAAGAGTAGAAAAGAGTTCGCGGAGCTTCTTGTATGCGACGAGTGCGTGTGAAGAGAAGAGAAAGGAAATAACGAATCAACGATAACTAGAAGTCGCGTGTTAAGAAGAAAGAGAGAAAAGAACAGAAAGAAGACCAGAAAAGAGAGAAAGAAAAAAAAAAAAGAATCCACGCAATAAGAGGAAGAGAGAAAGGAAAGAAGAAAGAAGAGACTCAACGATAAGAAGGGACAGAAGAAAGAAGAAGTAAGAAAAGGGTGGAAGAAAAAAAGAGATGAATCCCGGATATAGAGGAAGAGAGAAAAAAGAAAGAAAGAAAAAAGAAAGAGAATCCACGATAAGAGGAAGAGAGAAAGAAAGAAAGAAGAAGAAAAAAAAGAATGCCGACGATAAGAGGGAAAGAAAGAAAGAGAAAAAAAAAGAGAATCCACGATCCACGATAAGAGGAAGAGAGAAAGAGAAAGAGAGAAAGAAAAAAGAAAGAGAATCCACGATAAGAGGAAGAAAGAAAGAAGAAGAGAGAAAGAAAAAGAAAGAGAAATCCACGAAATCCAACGATAAGAAGAAAGAGAGAAACAGAAAGAAAGAAAGAAAGAAAGGAGAGAAAGAAAGAGAAAAAACGAGAAAATCCACGATCCATTCCTACTACTTATGCCACGGGGAAAGCCGCTGAACTGAAAAGGAAAGCGGTCGCTGGTCCGAATGGTAAGTGTATGCAAATGATTTCATATATCATCCACGCAGCCGAGCTACTTAACCGCCTTGTCCGTGTGTATTTTAAGGTCACATGTTTCTTGACTTGCGATCCGGTCCGTTCGGAGGAAAGTCGTTTGTGTAACGAGGAAGTAAGTAAAGAAAATTGGATAGGTAATAGGCAGAGAGAAGGAAGGTAAGGGAGGGAGGGAGGGAGAGAGAGCAGAGAGAGAGAGAGGGAAGAAAAGAGGAGAGAGAGAATAGAAAGGAGAGAGGAGAGAAAGAGGCAGGTGAGGAAGAGAGTGAGACGAGAAGAGGAGAGAAAGAGAAAGAAATAGAGAGAGAAGAAAGAAGGTTGAGAGACAGAAAGACAGAAAAATACACACACAAACAGAAGAAAAATTCGACGACCCTATCGATAATGAAGAAATAAAGACAGACTGGAAGAAGACAAAGCAAGAATAAAGAAAGGCAAACACAATACCAGAGACAAAAAAAAAAATAAGCAAAAACAAGCCAGAAAATCAAATAACAAACATACTCCGTTTTTGAAGAATCAGACAAAAGAAAAAATAATAGAATAATAATATAATAATAACAATAATAATAACAATAATAACAATAGCAATAATAATAATAAATGAATAAATAAACAAGAAGGATATAGAAAGATATTTTTGCACGATGTAGAGAAAAAATATCCATTGTTCCCAAAAAGAAAGTGACGGATA